ACAGTCACCCAGGCACCCCAGTAGCACTACTATTTTAAGCAAAAAGAGATGAAAGATAAATAAGAACGGATGGAAACTAATCTTTTTTTAGGCTATGACCTTAAGCAAGGCCAGTCACCCTTTGTGGTTAAATAAATGGCAACTGATGAAGTATTCACCAACGTCAGAAATAAATGCTTTTCACAAAGATCATGCCTGCTCGCACAGTTCAAGAACACAGGCTCCAGAGCTGCCCCAGCCATACGTGACTACTGAGCATGAGAAATATGGCTGGTCCAACCAGTGAGATGCTGTCCGTGTAAAATATATACTGGACTTCAAAGACTTATTATAAGAAAAATATAAAATATCTCATTAACTTAATATTGCATACATGCTAAAATATTTTAGCCATCTTGCATGAAATAAAATATATTATTAAAATTAATTTTACTTGCTTTTTAAAAAAAATGTGGTTACCAGTACATTTAAAGTTAGATTTGCTGACAGCAATAAGGCAACCAAAAGAAATAAAGCCATCCAAAATGGCAAAGAAGAAATTAAACTGTCACTATTTACACATGACATGATACTCTATATAGAAAACCCTAAAGACTCCACCAAAAAACTACTAGAACTGATCAATGAATTCAGTAAAGTCTTGGGATATAAAATCAATGTGCAGAAATCTGTTGCATTTCTATAGACTAATAATGAAGCAGCACAAAGAGAAATTAAGAAACTAATCTCACTTATAATTATACCCAAAATAATAAAATACCTAGGAATAAACCTAACCAAAGAGGAAAAAACATGTACTCTAAAAACTATAAAACATGGATGACAGAAATTGAAGACGACACAAAGAAATGGAAAGACATTCCACACTCATGGATTGGAAGAACAAATAGTTAAAATATCTATACCCAAAGCAATCTATACATTTAATGCAATCCCGATCAAAATACCAACAACATTTTTCACAGACCTAGAATAAACAATTCTTAAAGTTTACATGGAACCACAAAGACTCCAAAATTGCCAAAGCAGTCTTGAAAAAGCAAAGCACAGGTGAAGGCATCACAATTCCAAACTTCAGGTTATATTACAAAGCTGCAGTAATCAAAACACTATGGCACTGGTACAAAAACAAAAAAAAGACATGTATATCAATAGAACAGAACAGAAAAGTCAGAAATAAATCCATGATTATATGGTCAATTACTCTTTGACAATGTAGGTAAGAATATCCAATGGGAAAAAGTCTCTTCAACAAATGGTGTTGGGAAAACTGGACAGTTACATGCAAAACAATGAAACTGGACAACTTTTTTACACCTTCCACAAAAATTAAAAAATGGATTAATACCTAAATGTGAGACCTGAAACCATAAAAATCCTCAATGAGAGCACAGGTAGTAGGGTCTCTGATATGAACCATATCAATATTTTTCTAGATGTCTCCTGATGCAAGGGAAACAAAAGCAAAAATTAACTATTGGGATTTATATCAAAGTAAAAAGCTTCTGCACAGCGAGGGAAACAATCTACAAACTAAAAGGCAACCTACTGAATGGGAGAAGATATTTGCAAATGACATATCCGGTAAAGGGTCAGTATCCAAAATACATAAAGAACTTATACAACTCAACATCCCAAAAAAACAAATAATCCAGTTTAAAAAAGGGGCAAAAGACATGAACAGACATCTCTCCAATGAAGACAGCCAAACATAACCAACAGACACACGAAAAGATGCTCAATATCACTCATTAGGGAAATGCAAATCAAAACCACAATGAGGTATCACCTCACACCTGTCAGAATGACTAAAATCAAAAACACAAGAAACAACAAATGTTGGTGAGAACGTGGAGAAAAAGGAACTCTTGTGTGCTCTTCCTTTCTCAGTGGAGTGCAAACTGGTACAGCCACTGAGGAAGACAGCATGGAGGTTCCTCATAAAGTTAACAGTAGAACTACTCTATGATCCAGCAATCATACTACTGGGTATTTACCCAAAGAATATAAAAATACTACTTCAAAGGGCTACATGCCCCCGGATGTTTATGGCAGCATTATTTACAATAGCCAAACTATGGAATGCGCGCGCGCGCGCACACACACACACACACACACACGAATATTATTCAGCCATAAAAAAGAATGGAATCTTGTCATTTGCAGTGACATATGTGAAGCTAGAGTGTTATGCTAAGTGAAATAAGTAAGGGAAAGACAAATACCATATGATTTCACTCATATGCAGGATTTAAAAAACAAATGAGCAAAGGAAAAAGAGAGAGAGAAAGAAACAAGCCAAGAAACACTTTAAACTAGAGAGAACCAATTAATGGTTACCGAGGGGAGGTTGGTGGTGGGGGACAGATGAAATAGGTGATGGGGATTAAGGAGGACACTTGTCATGATAAGTACCAGGGGGTCTGTCAAAGTGCTGAATCACTGTTTTGTGACCTGAAACTAATATAACACTGTATGTCAACTGCACTGGAATTAAGAGAGAGAGTAGAATAGAGTAGAGTAGAGTAGAAGAAGAGAGGAGAGGAGAGGAGAGGAGAGAGGAGAGGAGAGGAGGGGAGGGGAGAGGAGAGAAGAGAGTAACATTTGCAGCTTTGCCTTATCTTCCCATCACACGGTGCTGGGTGAAGGTGCTCAAGCTCAGGCCACAAGTCAGCTACACCACAGGACCTTCCATACCTCACACTGTCTCTCTATCCTGGGGTTTTTGTTTGTTTGTTTGTTTTTTCATTTGCAAGATGTCAAGAGCTTGGACTAGATGCTTGTGAAACCCCTGTGGCTCTCACATTCTAGGATTCAAGGATTCAACCGTGATTGCTGGTGGAGAAAAGAAAGCAGGGGCCAGTCGATGACAGCGTAATAAGTGGTTAGTCAGCACTGAACAGTTAGTGTAATGAAGAGGCAGGGCGGCATTTGCTGGAGCTGGGCTCTGTACAGGCTGCCTAAGGAGAGTTCAACGGGTCCCTTATGGCCACCCCACAGCTTGGGGGGTCCCGAGGCTGCAGACGGTGCCATTCCATCCCTGCTGCAGTGCTAGCCCAGCAGCTGCTGGGAGCACCTGAAGAAAGCCCTGCTCTGGTGTGGGGCAGGCTCCAGGCTCAGCACTCAGGCCACCTCGTCACAGCAGGCAGCCCAGCAGATGGGGGTACATGCTATCAGCTTAAGCCCAGCATGTCGTGCGACAGCGTCCCGGCTGCCAACAGGTTCCAGCAGACTGACCACGTTCCACGTGCCACCCAGCTGTGGGAGCCCAAAAAGTGGGAAAAAACCAACCTGTGATTTATATTGTGTTTGTATGACTTAATCCAAATTCTAGCAGATCTGGATTTTGTGGTTTATCAGACTCCTAAAAAAAAAGTATTTTTTAAAAAAAGAAAAAAATGTATCTGACTAGCAGTTTTGGTTTTTTTAATTTTTAATTTTATATATATTTTTATATTTTATATCGTATATATTTTATTATTATAAAATTTTTATTTTATATATTATATTATATATTTTATATATAAAATATATCACCTAATATATTAATATATTATACTATATTATAAATATATTTATAATTATTATATATTATATATTTATATAAATTTATATATGTTAGATATTATATATTTATATAAATTTATATATTTATATTATATAAAAAACATATATATCATATATACAAATTATATATGATATATACAATATATATAATGAGTTAAATATATTATATTTAATATATATATAAACTCTTTATTGAACAAATCATTTGAGGATACAATCTCCCATTCACTAGGTTGCTTTTTTGTTTTGTTAATAGTTTCCTTTGCTGTGCAAAAACTTTCTATTTTGGTGTAGACTCGATATTTAATTTTGTTTTTGTTTTCCCTTGCCTTAAGGAGACATATCCATAAATAAAATTGTTCAGGCTATTCGATGTCCAAGAGATTACTGCCTATGTTTTCTTTTAGGAGTTTCATAGTTTCAGAGCTCACATTTATGTCTTTAATTAATTTTGAGTTTATTTTTTTGTATGGTCTAAAAAAGTGGTCCAATTTCATTATTTTACATGTAGCTGTCCAGTTTTCCTAATACCATTAATTGAAAAGACTGTCTTTTCCCTGTTGTATATTCTTGCCTCCTTTGTCATAGATGAACTGACCATCTAAGCATGGGTTTATTTCTAGGCACTCTATCCTCTTCCACTGATCTGTGTGTCTGTTTCTGTGCCAGTACCATATTGTTCTGATTATCACAGCTTTGTTAGCTATCTTGAAATCTGAGATTATGACACCTCTGGTTTTGTTCTTTCCCAAGATTGCTCAGCTATTTGAGGAGACCCCTGTATTTTTATAACCAATTTCAACTTTGGTGTGAGCTGGTTGGAACAGGTGTCAGATACTACTATCACATAAGTCCTGAAGAAGATACTCTTTCTTCACCTTTAGTGCCTTTATACAGCAATACCTCATTTCTATGCTAAAACCAAAGCTGATACAAATATGATATGGGTGCTGTCACTTTCCTAGCCAACTCCCCATGCAGACTTGATGTAGGGGTCACAGCACTCTCTATCTCGGCCTCATAAATCATCACCATAGTGTTCTACGTGGCCCCAAAGAAATTAACTGGAGTTGGCACACAAGAGAAAAGTTATTGGCCCTCAGTGTTCTAGACTCAGGTGCACACTTACAAACCCATGTCCACCCATCTATAATGATCTAACTACCACACGATAACCTGCAAACTTCAGGAACTGTAAATCCTGTGAACTTCAGGAAGCGTAAACTACCGGAAACCTCTAAATTACAGGAACTGTGTCTGCTACAGCAAAGCCAAGACTGTTCCTCTCTCCACTTAATGACTTTATCACGCATAGCCTTCCAGCAACATACGTGCCTCCCCGTCCAACTGTAGCAAAGAGTCTTTCTGACTACCTTGATAGACTACAACTAGTAAGCAAATAAAAAGAGCATCTTAAAAAATCAGTAACATACCAACTCCATCAACTGTTTGAGCTGACCTATCTCTTCGGGCAGCGCTCCAAGTTTGTTGTTACTTGCGATTAAGACTTTGAGAGGCAGACCACACAGGCAGGCAGGCAGGGCAGACAGCTGATTTCGACTGCAAAGACAATACCAGAACACAGGTGAACATACGGGCCACGTCATGCTGTTTCTGAATGTGAGTCAGCAAGAAGAAAGGAGTGATCCAAGAAGACATTTTACAAATATAAAAGGTCCAATAAAGTTTCTGCACGTGTCATAAATCCCAAATACAGAAGATAATAAAGTATATTTCTAAGAAAGAAAGACGGGGGCGCCTGGAAGGCTCAGGCGGTTGGGCGTCCAACTCCGGATTTCAGCTCCGGTCCTGATCTCAGGGTAATGAAATGAAGTTCAGCAGGCAGTCTGCTTTTCTTTCTCCCTCTCCCTCTGCCCCCTGCCCAACTCTTGCACATGCTCTAAATAAATAAATAAATAAAATCTATATTTAACAGAAAGAAAGAAAGGCATAGGCAGTTCTGTGGGAAACAATTTTTTCCGGCGCAAGGAAAGCCCTTGCAGAAGCTGAGTCCTTGGCCAGCCAAGAGGCAGACGGGCATCACGCCCCGTGCCACCAATAGCAACAGGAAGCTGGTGCCAACTGTTCTCTTCCTGACAATGTGAGCAGGAAACTCAACAAGATCCAAGTACCATGAAGGCATCCTCCCGTCCGTGTTAGTAGTGATGGGGAAGGTCATTGTGCTGCAAGTTATAAAAGACCTCTAGCCTGATTTCCAACATTTTGACTCTGCTTTCTTTTGCTAACACAAGAGCCACTGTGGTTAAGGTCTATTTGGATGTCTGCAAGGGAGCTAATTAAAAGAAGAAAAACGCTGGGGCGCCTAGGTGGCTCAGTCAGTTAAGTGTCTGCCTTTGGCTCAGGTCACGGGCCCAGGGTTCTGAGATCGAGTCCCACATGGGGCTCCCTGCTCAGTGGGGGGCTCCCTCTCCATCTACCCCTCCCCCAGCTCATGCTCTCTCTTGCTTGCTCTCTCTCTCCCACATAAATAAAATATTTAAAAAAAAATAAAAGAAGAAAAAAATAAAGTTGGCCTTCTGCCAAAAATGAAGCTAGGGTCTCCAGGGGTTCAGTTTCACAGAGTACCCAGAAACTGCTCACATTCAGTTTCACAGAGGACCCAAAAGTCTGGCTCCAGGTCTCACTTCTGCTTTGCAGGAAGAGGTTTTCTACAGAGAAGTGCCTGAACTTCCTAAGCTCCTATCATCAATGCCTAGTTTTTCTGAGAAATGGGAAAACAATGGATAAGTGAAATCCATGAACCATTTTATGTATGTCAGTCATTTATTTCAACCTCCTTTCCCACAAAAAGCCCCTTCCCTGCCATCAAGTAAGGAGACAGAAGGTTTTTAGTTTCCCTGCCTTTCTTTCCCTGGCATTCTGCTGAGGAAGCCAATGACCAGGCTGTGAAATATCTAAAAACCTGTGTGTCGAGTTACTACAACTATTTAGAACTTGTTTTGTGTGTATGTGTGCACGTGCACGAAGCTTCCAAGGTTGTGGTACAGTGTGCATGTATTTAGGGACACACATAAATCAGTGTGGGAGAGAGGAAGGGACAGACAGCCTGAAAACACACCAGTGTTATTAGTAATCCTTCGAGGGGGATTAGGTACAATGAGTGTCTTTTTATTTTCTTTCTTATACTTTGTTGAATTTTCCAAAATTCCTACAAAGTGCTTTCATAATTAAGAAATAAATATCACGGGGCACCTGGCTAGCTCAGTCTGCTGAAAGTCCAACTCTTGGTTTAAGCTCAGGTCATGACCTCAGGTTTGTGGGATGGAGCCCTGCATCAGGCTCAGTGTTCAGTGGGGAGTCTGCTTCTCTTCCTCTGTACCCCCCCACTTGCGTGCTCTCTCTTGCGAGCTCTCTCTCTCTCTAAAATAAATAAATCTTAAAAAAGAAATAAGTATCACTATAAAAAGATAAACTTCATCTGCATACTGGTTACATGGGGGGTTTTATTTATGAAAATTCACTGAGATGTATAATTATGAACTGTGTACTTTTCCGTATGTATTATATTTCAGTTGAAGGTTTTACTCCCCTACTCTCCCATATGAGGAGGTGGGAATCTTATGGCTAAATAAAGGACATCTCTAGCTGATGGGCTGAGAAAAAGCAGCTGTTATCCCCTGGAAAGAACCTTTCTAGTGACGCGTGGGTGGCACAGTTGGTTAAGGCTGCCTTCAGCTCAGGTCATGATCCCAGGGTCCTGGCATCGAGTCCCACATTGGGCTCCTTGCTCAGCGGGGTGTCTGCTTCAACCTCTCCCTCTGCCCTTCCACCCTCACTCATGTTCTCTCTCTCTCTCAAATAAATAATAAAATCTTTAAAAAAAAAAAAAAAACCCTTTCTCATGTGGGTACTCCCCTGTAACTCCCCTGATATCTCTCCTGTTCCAGGTACCCAATGAATGCCTGGGTAATAGGGTTTATCAAGAAAAGACACAGTCAACCTTCCCTCCATTGCTGAGATCTGCAAATAAAGAGATTTCCAGAAAGGAGTGGGAAGGAGAGAGGTTTCTCTAAGACGGTCCAGCAGAGGGAGGGAGGAGATTGAAAGCCATATGGGGGTGGAGGGGGGTTCCTGGCACTGGAAGGACCAGCTGCCTCTTCACTTCCCCCTGGTTAGAGTGATAGGGAGAGTAAGGGGGTTGGACACGCCGTGGCACTTTCTCCTGTCTCTGAGGGCAGCAGAAGGGCATCAAGGGCTACCAGCCTGTTCTCCAGCCTCTGACATCCACCCACAGGAGCCCAGTGGGGCTGCTCTGACTTCCTGACAGGGACTTCCTGGAGCACTGATGGGAAAGCTTTCTCCAAGCTCCATAAACATCTCCTTTGACATTACCTCTGGAAAAGAGAACGAAGTTTATTGAAAGGTGGCAAGCAAATAATTTGGAATGTAATTTGTGGTTATAAAATATTTATTAATACATAATTTCCTAAAATGAGGACTGGTTACTTAAAATGTTAATAAGGCCATTTTTTTTTTTTAATTTTGGAGCCACATTTAAACTTCTTTTTGGAGAAAAGACAAGGAAACAAAGATTAATTGGTATTTTCAAAAATTTCTACATTCCTGTTTTCATAGAATTAACAATTACAGTTGAACATTCTTCCTGTGTTTCTTTGCTTGGAAACTCAGATTTCAGCCATTCCCAGTCTCACCATAATGCAGGGATCTCATCAGATTAACAGATACTGAACGAGGAGAGCCACTTATCATACCATTTAAGCAATGCAATGAGGGCTCTTCTCATTCAGAAGCACAGTATTTAAGATTACATGGGATTAGGCTCATGGGAATTCTAGGGTGGGTACTAATTTAAAATAAAATAACACTGAGGCATTTTCAATTTAAAATGTTAATATTAATTTTAAATGTAAGCATTTTAAATTTAAGCATAATTAAATGTAAGCATGATTTCTTTGATGGGGGTTACAAGCTTTTTATGCTAAAAGTTGCTGATGGAGTAACCTATTTATTTATGCCTCATGCTATACTATAGTTAGTCACCTGCAGATAAATCCAGACGCCAGAACTTTAGTTATAACACAGCACGCTACAGACCCAGGTCACATTTCTTCAATCTCATTGATCCAGTCTCTCAGGCTCAACTTCATATATTTTATCGCAGGATGTTCCTATGTGACTTGTAATTTCCCCGATAGAAAAAGGAAATACACATGCACACAAAAACCCATTAGCTGTCCAGCAAGTATTTATAAAGGACAGGAGAAACTCCATTCCCTTTAATCCTCTACCCACTAAAGACCACATGGGTAGCCTGAGATTATTCCAACCACTCATCTGGCAGCGATTTTTCTCAAGCAAATAATTGCCTCAGGCCTCAAGCAACTGTCTTGCTCCCCACTTGTCTCCTGCTGGCCTCTTGGCTAAAAATGGGCCCTGCGCAGAAAGAATGTTTAAAATAAGGGTGTATACAATCTGATAAGGTAATAGTCAACATTTATTTTCAAATCTACCTTGCAAGCTCTACCTGAAAGCAAAATCTAAAAAAAAAAAATTTTTTTAACTCACTCAGTACAAAGGATTTAGTGGGGGAAAAGGGGCCACTCATTCAGAAGCAGAAATTACAGATTTGGTCATGGCAGCCTGAGACATCTTGCCCAGCATCTCTTCTCACTGTCCCTGCCCAGTCTGCACGGACGATGATGGCACAGGGAGGGAGGTGGAGAGGCGGAAAGGCGTTAGGTTTTTACTGGGCCGTGTTTATTGCTGACGCTTCCTCTTCATCTTTCTCAATCGAATGACTCCCTATTAGATTTATTGGTCTATTTCCTCATGTCAAGATGAAACAAGGCAACTCAAACATAATTTGAACACTTTTGATAGCTTTAGTTTACAGGATAAATTTCTCTTGGCTTCAAGTATCCACTATCCCGAACTTAACATAATTCTTAAACTAAAGAATTTGCAAACCATCTCACTTCCATACAGTTTTACTGCTAGAGAGTCTTAATTTAATGTGTTTTGACTATGACACTTATTAATATCCATGTTTTTAGACTTAATGGTGGTATTTAACATTATTTATTATTGGTTTATCAGAAAGTTTCCCTAAAGTATGTGATGATTAAAAAAAAAATACTATAGGGGCACCTGGGTGGCTCAGTTGTTGAGCATCTGCCTTTGGCTTGGGTCATGATTCCAGGGTCCTGGGATCGAGTCCCACATTGGGCTCCCTGCTTAGAGGGACGCTTGCTTCTCCCATTCCCCCTGCTTGTATTCCCTCTCTCACTGTGTCTCTCTCTGTCAAATAAGTAAATAAATAAATAAAAAGACTATATTCTTACATGTGATTTTATTATCAGGGTATCCTCTCTATATATTTTTTATTTTACTGGGATAGTGTATGGGTTCACTTAATAATTGAGGGTAGAACCCACTCAGCAGAAAATAATTTATAGGAAGACTTCCATAACATAGTCACCTACTCAACTGGTGAAAAGGTCACCAGCTATGGAACTAGAAGGCCTGGCTTCAAATCTCGTCTCTGCCACAAACATTTGGTATAGGTAAAACATTTAACT